ATGCTTCCCCTGAACATGGGTCCTGGGAGTCCTCACAGAAAGGCGTCCCGGCTCTCTCCGTCCCAACACACCCCGAAACGTCCACATTGCTTTTCAAGTGTCATGGAAACCTGGAGCATTCCCGGCCCTGCGGGGTGGCGATCCAAAATAGAACGTCTTCTCAAATTGAGTGTAAACTTATCCCAAGGAGACTGGGACTGCCGAGGCCCGGCAGAGACTGGGCCCAGCTAGAGGTCACTGAACACCTTCCCAGCCCCTGGATGGCTTTGTGGAGACCCCTTGGTGCTGTCCACAGCTAACACCCTTTGCAGGGGAGCTCAGGCAGATGTCCCTCTGTGACTGCGTTTATCTCTGGAGACAGCTGTGGGCCTGGGGACCAGGAAGAGCAGGTCTCCTGACTCACAGAATAGCAAGTGTGGACAGCACTGTGCTGACCTTTTTTATCACCGCCGAGACATTTCTACATTGCACGAGGCACTCTTTCAAACTTCAAATTCAGATGTGATGACACACAACACCGTGTATCCATAGTGAAGTGTGCAGTGCAGTGTGTTTGGGGGGAATGTGTACACTGCCGTAGTCAATACCCTGGATCGACACACAGAGCATCGTGCCCCGCCCTGAAAGTTCTCTGTACTTTCCCCTGGTCACCCGCATAGCCCCCACCAAGGGCAGCAATAATGGTCCCTCACACAGATTGGTTTTGCCTGCTCTTGAACTTCCTATGAATGAACCAATGCAGTCTGCACGCTTTTGTGCCTGGCTTATGCATTTTGCTTTTGGGGCTCATCCGTGGTTTTGTGCATATTAGTGGTTCATTTCTTTTCTTGGATAAGCGCTATTGCGTGGAATGAATATATCATGATTTGCTTATCCATTCTCCTTTAGGTATACTTGGGTTATTTCTAGTTTTTTTTTTTGTTTTTTTGTCTTTGCTATTTAAATTTAAAAAAATTTTTATTCTTCACCTGAGGACGTACTGACTGATTCTAGAGAGTGAGGAAGGGAGAGAGGGAAGCATCGATCCATTGCTTCCCAAATGTGCAACCTAGGCATGTGCCATGACTGGGGATTGAACCTGTGACCCTTTGGTTTATGGGATAACACTCCAACCAAGTGAGCCACACTGGCCAGGATTTCTTTTTTCCTGTTTTGTTTTTCTTTTTTGCTACTTTCAATGAAACAATGGTCAACATTTCCATACAGGCGTTTGTGTATATGTGGACGTAATTTCATTTCTTTTGTTTAAATCGCAAGGTGTAGATTTGCTGGATTTTATGTTAGGAGACCACTTACCGCCATAGGGAACTGCCAGAGAGTCTGCACAACGCCCTCTTCACTCATGATCCGAGCACCTCTGAAGAGAATTCTTTTCTTTTTTTTTTTTTTTTGTTTCTTTCAGGATTATGTTTTTGTCTTGAATTGCATTGGTCAGGTGTGGGCACGCGTTCTTCTGCAGTACATCCTGAAGGACGAGACCTTAAACACATCATTTCCGTGGTTCTTTGGAAGTGCCTGTACTCACAGCTCGGAGTCTGGGAGAATCATATTGGAAAAGCGGAACACTCCCTTTCTTTAATATATTATGCACACAAAATATGTGTATCATGTGCATTGGTTATATCCGTAGAGTAGAAACTGTAAATCTGACACCAGGTCCAAGAATGGACATATTTCTAAGATCAGTGCACTGTTTCTGGGCTTCTTACCCCCACCGCCCCCCCCCAAAGGTCAGCAGGGCCCTGGGTGTTTTGTTCTTTACTAATCTGCTTGTTAAAATGACAAAACAAAACAAAAAGATTCTATCCTGTATTTCATTCTTTTGCACTGAAGATTTTGCCATGTATTTCTTGCTGTCCTTTCTCTTAAGAGCTTCACCAGAATGCCATTTGTGCAGTTTTTCAGAACTTGCTTCCCCCTCGCCCCTTTAACAGCCTGTTTCAAAAATCTTCCCCTGTTACTGCGTGGCTGCAGTTTATTCCCTTTTGCTACTGAGCACCATTCCTTTCTGGGGATAGATCACAGTGTATCATATTACTGCTAATACTTGTCGATTGGCAATTGTGCTGTGTCTGGTATGTTCACTACGTATATATATCATTGGGGGGCACTCTGGTACATTTAGCAGAATTATTTTACATAAAGCTACTTTCAAGTAAACAGTGTTTAAAAAATGAAAATGAGCAACCGGTTTCTGCTCCAAAAGAAATGTATAAGGTGTGTGTGTGTGTGTGTGTGTGTGTGTGTGTGTGTGTGTTGGGGGGGTGGGGGGCAATTGTATAAAAAGTAACAGTTTGCTACATTGTCAGTGTGGTCGTACAGCAAAGACTCCTGTAACTGTTTCACTGTGTGATTTTATTGCCAAGGTTGAAAAAATAAGTTTCACTTCTGTATGTAGAATGTAATCATTGGAAAAAAAAAAAAAAGAATCGCCTTCTTTGTCTATGTGATCATGTTGAAATTGAAAGGCAAACGACATTTTGATTCTTTTTTCCTAACTGTGAAGCTACATAATAAGTATCTAACTTCACTGCCTGAAATAGCTTAATCTTACTGATTTCCTACTCCTTTAAGAAAATACAAACATTTAAAAAATATACAAATAAAAAGTCATCTTAGTTAAAAAAAAAACCCTGCAATTTAAATAACTAAGCATTTATTTCTCTTTGTTCTATATACCTCATGTCCCTAGGGGCAACTGAAGGAGAGTTTTTATTACTAATACTAAAAATATGTTGTGTGGTATTTAAAGATTTTTATATTAACATTAGTCTCTTAAAAGTTGGCTCTAAACTTCTAAATTTACAAGCTTGTATCTAACAATTCTAAACACCAAATATAGTGAAAAAATAATACTGATTTTCCTTTTCGTTTAACTGCAGAAAGAATCTGTAGGCAACAAAACCAACCTCATGCAGGGAACTCTGAACAAATATTTAAAACTCAGTAGACTGAATTTTAATAATTCACAGTAGTGCCTAATTTTTACATGATACACGCTAAATTCAAGTTTCTTTTCAAAGGTTCTAATATACGTCTTCCTTTGTTTAATGTCCAGAACATCCGAAACTGGAACATTTTATTTAAAAATTAAGCTGAATTTCAGCTAAGCAAAAACAATCCCACATGAATAACTCTCTTAAGTAAAAAAAGATTTATGTCCCTTCTATACAACTGACTCACTGAATTGAGCTAAAATTTTCCAAGGAGAAAAATGATCTAGGGAATAAATATAGGGGAGGGGAGAGAGGCTAGGTTTCCATTATGATAGCTTTTGACTTGTTTTTCAGGTCTTCATTAAAAAAAAATTGTTTACACACGATGGGATGCATAATGTAACTCGGAAATCTTTTACAATTAGAGAGTCAAAAAATAAATAAATAAACAGACCTGCCTTTTCTTTCGAACAGATGTTTTCCGAGCAGGCAGCCCGGTTGTTTACGAGACAAACACTCCTACTGGATCTAGACATCCACGACGTTTATGAGCCATCTCCTTTTTATTTATTATTGACATCAATTAGCCTGAGTCATGAAACCTGATCACATTAAAGGCTACACGTGGTCCACTCACTATTTTTAAAAGTCCACGTATTTCAAACTCCTCTCTCCAGCCCTTGCTACCGTGTCCCCCTTTCAGGACCTGGGCTCCGCGGCATTTATTCGTTCGATGGCTTTGGGGCAGCCTCTCCTCGGGCGCGGGCGAGGGAAGCCCAGGGGGGACGGGGTTGGTGCTGGTTTCTGGTCCCTTCCCCAGCGAAGGACGCAAGAGGGAGGTGCCCGGGGGACCCGAGGCAGGTGCGGGTGGGTTTCTGCCGTGGCCGCTGGTCGCGCGCGCGCGCGGCGAGCTGCGGGGTCCCGACTCCAGCGCGGAGATGGGTCCGGGCCGCGGCCCCGCACTTCGTCCTCTGGGGCCCCCAGGACACACCCCCCAGCCTCGGGGCCACCGCAGCCCGCACCCAGCACGCGCTTCGGTCGCTCCCCGAAGCCGCCCACGTGGTGGAGCGCCGAGCAGCAGGAGGAGCGTTCGGGGAGGGCCGCGGGTCCTCGAGGCCCCGCCAGCGCGACCCCGGCCGCTGGGCCCCCAGGCCGGGCCCCCACATTTCCTCTCCCGGAGGGAGGGCGGTGATCCGCGGGCCGGCCTTGCCCGGCGCCTTTTGCGCCCCCTGGCGGTCGCCGTGGGGACGCGCCCTGGGCACGCGGGGCAGCAGCCCGTCTGGGCCCCCCCTTCCCCGACTCCCCGCTCGCGGCGGGCCATCTCCCCCCCTTGCATCCCCGGGCCGAGCTCCCAGGGCCGCACCCCATCCCCTCAGTTCCCCGCGAGCCGCGGAACTCTGGGCTCCAAGTCGCCATGCGGCGGCCGCCGCAGCCTTGCGTGAAAGTGCCCGCCTTGGGAGCCTGCGAGCCTCCTTTCTCCCAGGTGTGCCCCTCCCGCCACGTTCGGGCTTTCCAGCGCGCTGCGAAAAAATGCCGCATGCACGCACTTATTTATTTATTTTGCAACAGCTGCAAGAAACAATGAAGCTTTTCAAGAACCGGGGAAACGCGCTTTCCAGCCGCGCTGTTGTTGTTTTCAATGAACCTCTCGGGCCCCGCACTCCCCGCCCACCCCACTCCCTCCCTCTGTCCTCTCCTCGTTCGGCCCCTCCGCCCAGCCCGGGCCGGCGCCGGGGGCATTGTTTTTGGAGTCTTGCGGGAGGGGAGCGCGCGTGCAGGGTGGCCGGCGCAGTGCGGGTGGGAGCGAGAGCAAGTGGGCGCGCGCGTGCGCGCGTGTGGGTCTGGGTGCGCGCGGGCGGCAGCGCGGGCGGGGGACGGGGGCGGTGCCTCTCCGCCTAGCACCCCACGCTCCGGCTCCGCTCCGCACGTCCCTGGAATTCCGGGCTCCGGCTCTTGGCGCGCGCCGGTCTGGGCCGGGCCCTGGGCGCGCCGCGGCTGCGGCGGTGGCGGCTCTCGGGGGCGCGCGGGCGCGTGTGCGCGGGCCCGAGCGCGCGCGCGCCAGCCCCCAGTGTGTGGCAGCGGCGGCGGCGGCGGCAGCGGCGCGGCGAGGCTGAGGCTCTTGTTTACCAGCATTAACTCCGCTGAGCGGAAAAAAAAAAAAAAAGGGAAAAAAACCCGAGGAGGAGCGAGCGCATCGGGCGAACTCGAGAGCGGCGGGCGAGCGAGAGGGACGCTGCCAGCGAGCCTGGTCCCGGCGCGCCCGTGCCCGGCGCTCGGAGACCCTCGGCCCCGCTCCCCGGGCCCTCCACGCCCCTCCCGCGCCGGGGGAGCTCCACGGCGCGCCGCGCGCCTCGGCTTTGACCTTCAGCTCGCCGGAGCCCCCGCGCGCGGGGCCGGCGGCGCGGCAGGCGGGGGCCGGGCGGGGGCTGGCGCGGGGCGGGCGGCGGGAGTGCTGAGCGCGGCGCGGGCGGCCCGCCGCTTTGTGTGTGTCCTGGTTTTGGGCAGGAGCTCCCGGCGGCGGCGCTGAGGGAGGCGGCGGCGGCGAGCGGAGTCCGGAGGACCAGCAGGCGGGCAGCCGCTCATTCATTTTCGCACCGCATTTCGGCCCGAGCAGCCTCGCCCGCTCCGGGGACTTCGGGGCGATCCTGGGAACTGCGTCGCGCCCTCCCGCCGCCGAGGCTCGGACGGCGGACAGCTTCTCCCCGGGGCCGCGGTCAGGTTTGTTCCGCCTGGCCCGGACGGATTTGGGCTTTGCCCCCTCTCCCTGCAGTTTCCCCCCCTCCTGCCACTCTGGTTTGAAAATGGAGGCCGACGACGCCGACAGCCCGCCCCAGCGCGCCCCGAGTTCTCGACTCGACAGAGCCCTGGGCTGCGGCTGCCGGTGCTGAGGGGCCCGCCGAGCCGCCCGCCCCGTCCGCTGCGCTCCGCCTTTGGAGTATTGTTTCTTTCGCCCTCGTTTGTGGAAGGGGGGCGAAGACTGCGTTGGAGACTTTTTTCTTTTCCTCCCCAACCCCTTTTATTTTTGAGAAAGGGGAGTTGCGTCCTAAAGCAAAGGAATGAAGTCTGGTTTCGGAGGAGGGTCCCTGACCTCACTGTGGGGGCTCCTGTTTCTCACCGCCGCGCTCTGGCTCTGGCCCACGAGTGGAGAAAGTGAGTATTTGCCCGCCCGTCCGCGGCCACTGCGGGAACTTTTCCTCCGAGGGGCTGCGCCCTGTTTGCGAAATCCGAGTGGTCGCAGCTGTCGGGTCCCCGGGCGCGGGAGCGGCGGGGCGGGGCGCGGAGGGGAGCCCAGGTTTGGGAGTTTTAAGCTCCGCGGACCCCGGTTCCGCGCATCCCCCCGCCCCTGCGGGAGGCGCCTCGGGGGCTTTCTGTTTTGCGGTCCCGAGAGCCCTGCCCCGCGGGCAGCGCGTCTCCGCCGCGCTCACTTCCCGGCCCGGCGCTGGGACTGGATCAGGCAAGTTCGCTCCGGGCCGGGTCCCGCAACACACAACTCGTCCGCCTCCGGGCGCGCCGGGCCGCTCGGCGTGCCGCCTCGGCTGCCGCGCCGCGCGCTGACAGCTCCTGCGGCCGCGCGGGACCCTCGCGGCGGGGTCGACGCGGTGCGGCGGCGGGCAGCCCAGCGGCCGATGCGATGCCACTTGTCCTCGATGGGGAGGTGCCGCGCGGAGCGGACCCACAGCCCCAGCACATGTTCCCAAACATCCTGGCGCGGCCTCCAGACGCCCAGCGCGCTTTGCCCCTCGGGCGCTTTAGATTCCTAAGCTTTCCCGTCACTTTCGCTGGATCTGCCGCGGGTTACCTGCCTCCTAGCCTCCCTGGGCAGCTCAGTGCGGCTCTGGGGTGCGGGGAGCGTTCCCGCCTGGTCCCCCATCCCTTCACGCAGCTCTTGGAAAAAAAAAAGTGCGAAGGCGGGGGACCTACATCAGCCGGGCTCTTCCGGGGAGTGCGTCCGAGTCCCCAGTTAGGAAGGCTCCGGGACCCCCCCCAGTTTCTACCGGATCGGCGGACGCTCTTCTGCTGTTGGCGGGGCTGGGGGTGGGTGGGGCGGTGGTCGCGCAGCACCCGAGTGTGCGCGAGTGGGTGTGTGGTCGGAGCCGACGTACATTTCCACACACGTGCCTGCAACGCGGGCTGTAGCCGCCGCCGCCGCCGCCGCCGCCCGGCTGCCGGCGACACCTACGCGCCCTGCGCGGCCAGAGGAGTCTCGCGCCCTGGTTCCCGGAGCGCCAGGGTCCCCGGCGTCGGGGGAGAGAGGAGCGCGTGTGACTTGCGAGTGAGCGGCCCTGGCCGTGGTCGAGCGGCCGAAGTGGTGTCGCACTCCCTACGCCGACCCCGCACTTCCTTTGTGCATAGTTAATAAGCAGTATCTCTGCACAGTCGCTATCGCTTGCAATCTGATAGCTTTTGTTTTGGTAGCGTCGGGCAGAGGTAGGGAAGGAAGAAGGGAGGGAGGCGGGGAGGGAGAAGTTAGGGCCCCACGGGCTGTGGACGGAGGGGAGGAGGGGGCTCTTGTTCTTCTCAGAAAATTGAAACGTGGCTCACTGGCGCGTCCGCGCTGGGAGTAGGGTAACTAGATCACGATTAAACTTTAAATGCAGGCGCAGGACCGGGGCTGGGAACGCAGAGGGCGTGCTGGTGAGTAATGGTTGCCGAGGGTATGCAGGTGGTGCCAATGTGAAAAATCACGACGGAGCCTGGGAGAGTGAGGGGGAGCGTCCCGAGGCAGCGAGCGGGGGCTGTCTGGCCCCGACGCGGGCGCCGTCCCGACAGGCTGTGTAAACAAGCGCTTCTCATTAAATGCCCGCGAAGGACCGAGCCCCCGACGGGGTGAGCGCCGATTTGGACGGCCTTCGCGGGTTTCCTGCGGGGAGGAAGATGCCGAGGGAGGCCGGCCGGACCGCAAATCGGAGCGCCCCTGCTCTTCGTTCCCTAAACTTGGAGCTCAGTGGATGGGGCGGGAGGTTCGGGGCTGCCTTCTCAGGCGCACAGACGTGTGCGCCGCCCGCGGCGGCGGGGTACCCAAGAGGGTCCCTAGCCTGTAAACCCTGAGTATAGTTTGGGAGCTACCAGAGACTGCATCCATTTCATGACGGCATCCTCCCGAACTGGGCAGTGTCTCTGTTTTTCTCTCAGGGCAGTGGTGGCCTGGCCTGTGCGTGGCAGGAGTCCGGCATTTTAAAGTAGGATGTCCTGTCTCTGGAGCGTTCTTCGTGGACAAACAGGCTCCGTGAAAGGCGTTTCTTTCTTGAGAAAACAGGCAGGAGGGGAAAAGGGTATTTTAATGTATGTTTATAATCCTGCGTAGCCACAGCTTTTCTCCAAGATGCCTTGGAGATGCTTGGCTCCTGAAAACCTGGGGGAAAGATGCAAAGCACCCGGACCCTCATTCCAGCTTGGGACCCTCATTCCAGCTTGCGGGGGGGGGGGGGGTGAGGGGGGGGCTCCAGCTCAGGGCCTGCCCCTCCCTGCAGCTCCGAAGCTGTGGGGAGTGCTCAGTCTGCCCGGAGTGAGCTTACACACGTCCTGCGTTTCTGCAAGAGCTGCTGTAACACTCAGCACTGGGAGGGGTAGCTGATGAGTCCCATCCCAGCCTGAGTCCCTCCGGCTGTCTGGGCCAGCCATGAAGATGGGGGTGTGGGTTCCCCACTGTGTTGGCATATTTAGGGATTCGTGTGTCCTCGTCGTCCTCACAGCCACAGGGTGAGCTTCAGAAAACCTTTAATTTCGAAAATGGGGACGTTTTGGAAGCAGATGAAGTCACACAGGCGTGATTGTTTCGTATCAATAGGATGTGACCAGACCCTCAAAAATAAGGGGATTGGGGAGTTAGGAGTGGTTGCCACATAATCTGGTGGCCTTAAAAAAAGAAAAAGAATTAGTGCACGCTTTAAACATGTTGTCGCTGTCTTATTTTAAGGGGTCCGGTCATCTTTCTGCCTCAGACACAGTCACAGCCTATTGTTAGGGAAATGTTAGAAGGTGGGTGTTTGAAGGGGTCGGTGTTTCATTACCAGAAGAAGAACCAAGAACACGAAGTTTGGAAAGAACCTAAGTCTCAAATTATCGTGTAGATTCTCCAGAGGCAAATCACAAGTAAATGGCATCTCTGAGGAGGGATGGGGCGTGGGTCAGGATTCGAAGTTGAAAGGGTCATTTGTTTGAAAAGGGTTAGAAAAGTCCAGCCTTGAGAAATGCGCTGAGGTCGACTGGAAGGACTTTAAAAACACAGAAAGTGAAAGAAGCCAGCCCCCAAAGAGCATGTATTGTTTGATTCCATTTAAATGAAGTCTGGGAGGAGAAAATCCCACAGAGAACGTGGGTTAGCAGTTGTAGGGCTGAGTGAGGGAAGCGGGGACAGGGACTCACTGGTGAAGGGTACCCAGTTTCTTTTTGGGGTGATGAAATGTTCTAAAATTAGATTACGGTGATGGTTGCCCAACTCTGAGTATACTATAAAACTATTGCATTGTGCACTTTAAATTAGTGCCTTTTATGGTATGTGAATTATATCCCAATAAACCTTTTTTTAAGACATATTTTAAGGTTGGAAAGACTGTCTTATGTTACTTTGAACATAGGTACTTTATGAGAATTATTAAGTAAATTTGTCCAACAGGTTGGTGTCTGTCTCTCCTTTACTTACAGTTTTTCTATGATTCCAGCAATACAACGAACTGATATTTGAAGCTTATGAGTGATAGTCAAGTAATCTGATGACTTTTTAAAAAGTCACTTGCATTTTAAACATTGTGGCCATTTTATGAAAAGACTCCAGCAGGCATGGACGGAAAGGGAAGAAAACAATCTTGATTATATGTAGTTCAAGTTAAAGATGGAGGGGTTGGGTTAAAAACACAAATGCTAGTGAAAGTCAGATTTATAACAGTAAAATCCTGAACTGAATCTGAAACCATGTTGGTCCTTCCAAGATTAGAGTTTAGGGGCTGAGTTTCGATGGCTTTTTTTTATATTTCCAGTTTCTTCCATATGTTTTCTAACAAAGAAATAATGCAGTGTTTTAGGGTGGTAAGGAATTTTCACTTTCTTTTTTTTTTTTGATATTCCATATTAACCACCCTGGTTGTAAAGACTGAAGAGAGGGTTGATTTTCATGTAGTGTTTTTTTTTCTTTTTAATTTATTTTATTTCTTACATAGCTTTAGAATCTGAGCAGGAAAAAAAAACTTTTGTAAGGTACAGTAGCTATTTCAGGCATACCATAACTTACAAAAATGAAAATTTCCTGTGCAACAAAAGATTTTAGATGATGACAAAGACAGCTTTTGTTATTAAACTGCTATGCCCTCATCCACATTTGCCTTGGCCTTTTAATAGGAAAGACCTAGAGCATGGTGGTTGTTTACACTGGTGTTTGGTCTTTGTCTGAGGCTTAGTTTACTCATAAGAATGTTTCCTGTCCGCATTGTTGCCAGGCCAGGGCAGCAAATGCAAATGAACTGTATCATTTTCACTTGTTGCCTTCGAGTTCTGCCAAGGGTTTCCCAAAGGGGTGGTAGCTTCCTTTGAAATCTGCTTTCATTTGTTTCATCCCAATGTGCTGGTAAGGAGCAGCTGAACCCGGCCAGCACTGAGTGGGCACCGGCTGTATGAAACGCGCCCGTAATGCCTGAGCCCCCCCAAGATGGAGGCCTTTGCTTGGGCCCTGGGGGGCGTGTTCCGTGCTCCTGCATGAAACAGAGCTGCAGGAAAACTCAGTGCAGGATGCACCGTTTTCAGGTAGACAGCAAACAACATTTTAAAGGCCCTTCAAGGGTCTTTCTGTAGGTGTAGGTTAGTGAAGTGGAATCGGTGGTGTTGATCTTCTAAAGAGGCCTGTGCCAAGTACCCTTGGCCTGCTATTGCAGTGTCACTGCATGGGCCACGAATGACGTCAAGGAGACACCCACCTGTTGTGACATCAGTTATGGTGGCCGTGCTGACAACGTGTGGAGCTGGAGTCCCCTTTTGCCAAAATGCCGGGAGCCACAGATGTGCATGAGGAATCTAGCGCAGTAAATTCTGAGCTGCAAGGACACTGGGACTTGCTTCTAAAACTTCTCTGGATTTCTGCTTTGCACAGTGAGGTTTCTGGAGGTCGGGGAGCTTTGGTAATTTCGCAGCTTTGTGTAGTTTAAACCAACGTGCTGCGT